CTGGAGAGATGGCTCCAATCCATAGAAATTGCTCTTGCGGAGGACCAGGGTTTGGTCCCCAGCACCCAGATGGCAGTTCACAGTCATCTGGAACCCCAGTTCCAGGGGATCCAGCAATGTCTTCTGGCCTCTCTGGACACCAGGCATGCACATGGGGCAATATAGACATAATTATAAAATAAATCTAAAATTATAAAAGAATCCATCCTTCTAGTACCTCTAGGACTGAGGAAGGGAAGGGAGAGCATTGCTCTAGAACTGGAGAGTGTTGAATAAACTTCTCCCTCTTTTGGGCTGTTCCATAGATTTTGCTTGGCTACCAAGATGAGCCTGCCATGACCCTCTCCAAACCTCAGGTTCAGAGATTAATCTAGTCACTAAAATACACGTTCTAGTCACCATGAATTTATAAAAGTATTAATATTATAAATGCAATTTACTACTACTAATATTAGTGATTATTAGATGGCCAACATTCATGCCACTATATTACACAGATTCCTTCATACAATCCCCACTAACACGCTACACACAAGAAACCATGAAAACATTATTAAGCATCCACACACAGGGCGAGTCCAGTGTGCTCTGGACTTTCATAAGCACATGAACGGCTCACGTCAGAGAAGTGTGGTGAAGGTAGCCATAGCCCTCCTCCGAAACCTACAGTGCAATTGACATCTTCAGGGCTCTGAGGAGTTCAATGGACAAAGAATCGCTTTGCTGAGCAGTTCATGAGACCGGGGGGACAGTGATCCACCTCCAGAGACACTCCTGACTCCATAAATCGTTGGTGAAAATTGAGTTAATTAGCAGGTTTCATGGTTAACATTGACTTAGGATGTGAGCTAAGATGTTTTAGAGATCGCGAGAATAAAATGGACAATGTGCATTGATCTTCCATGCGCTGAACTCTCTTACTGTCCATAGGGCCCTGTTAGCACGTGACCAGCAGTCGGTTACCATGGCAATGTCTGTGTCACGGGAGGACAGACAGAAGTGACATTTTCACATGTTTTGCTTTCTCATACCTAACTGGGGAATTTCTAGTTTTCTCTGTTCTCACAACTTTAAAAGGATCACTTGCTTGTCTTCCTGCATGACTGTCCTGAAATGACGGAAACAAAAGTCCCTGGGAACTCTTTGCCCAGCTGTTGCGGTGTGTGCTTCTTACAAAGCAGTGCCCAGACTCCTGTGTTATCACTACCAGATAGAATGTAAACAGCTAACGAAGCCGTCATTTATACTACTGATGAATTTCCCACAAGGCATTTCTGATGCCCGTTTATGGCTAAGCTAGCATACCTGTCTCCAGCGGTCTCCATCTTCAGCTGGCTCTGGTAGGCGCTTGCTCCTGCTTCATTGTAGCTGCTCTGGGTAGGCCACGCTGCCTTCCCGTTGACACGGAGCTTTGCAAGATCGCTTCGGAGCCTCTCATTCTCGTATTCCAGCTTGTTAATTGATGGGTACCGTGACTGCTCCTTGTCAGTGAAGTCCATACTCTGGGGAGTAAAACAAACCCCCACTGAATGACCTCACACATGACATGTTTTCCACATGTTTGGACTCATGTGTTGGGAAGCCCCTTTTATTTGAGCTAGGTGACGTGGCTTTTGTGAACTCTTTGTTCCTCCTGAACATTTTAAATGTAAAGTGTTAATATAAATAAATTAATTAAAGTATATTTTAGAAGACTCTTAATAGCTGCATTACAGAGGTGCCAAATCTTGACAACTGAGTCTGTTTCATCAGCGGTGCTGTGGCTGCTCATACACAGGCCTGCACTGGAATTCCTTTACAACACGAGAATAAACTGAATGAAGGTGTCTGAGGAGCTCAAGGGGAAGTGCTAAGCCCACTCAGTTCTCTCTCACATTCAGGCTGGAGGGATGGGCGGCTCAGAGGCTACACTTGCTACTCTTCTGAAGGACCAGCATTCAGTTCCACCTTCGGCATCTCATAGCCACCGGGAACTGCAACTCCAGGGGAGCTGATGCTCTTTTCTGGTCTCTAAGGGCACGTGAACACATGAGGCATGCGCGCACGCGCGCGCGCGCGCGCACACACACACACACACACACACACACACACATACACACACAAGTCCTTTAAAAAAATCTCATAAATTCCAACCAACAGTAGGCTGAGGATCTTATTTTATGACCCTCACAATTTCATATCACTATTTTGTTAGGTTTGCTAATGGTAACTCAACAGCAGCCTTTATCACTGAAGTCGAATAGGTTTTCATGTTCCTTGGTGATTTTTACTCTACAGAATCTCAGTTGCTTTTGTATTCTTTGGTGATTTTCCCACTTTGGAGTTTCTGCTTACCAATATCAAAGTATCTTTTAACACTAGAGGCAGCAGTACAGTGTTTCTCTGGAAAAGGACTTTGGGTTCTCTTTCCTTAACTTCTGTCTCTTTGCCTCACATTGCGATTTTCTTTTTTTAAAGAGCTATTAAATGTTTACTTTCACTTTCTTCTATTTGTTTTATGATTTCATTATTTCACTTTAATTCTTTAGCTTATTTTGAGTTAATTTTGCTATAAAAGTGAGAGAACAGTAAAAATAATAAATTATTCCAATTATTCCAATTACATATTGATTAAAATATTCATGCCCACTGCCGGGTGATGTAACAGATTGCATGCTGGACTGATGTGGATGGAACTGGACTCTGGACTATTTTGCTGAATTGATCTTGCAGTTGAGACAGAGCCAATGGTGCACATCTGGAGCAATGTCATTTCAGGGCAGAGATTTGCTGCCGGGATATTAATGCACCTCCCCAGATTGTAAAATAAAGCATATTTAAATCACAAAATGAATGGCTTAAACAAGAGGCTTAGAGATTTCTCAGGTTGTTTTTGTTTAAAACTATAGGAAGTTTCTAGGGAAGGGGTGTGTGCGTGTGTGTGATGTGTGTGTATTTATGGTCTTCTTGTACTGCTTTGTACAAGGATAGTCTCTGTTCTCACATAGCAAATTGTGGGAAAGCTGTGTGCGATGATCTCTTGTCCACTTCTGTCCTTCCATCCTGTGAGTTGACCATCCCAAGCTGCATTGTGGCCTAGGGGACCACAGTTCTCTGGGATCAGAAGGGCAATACCTTAGCACCAAACGTTTGCCTTGGTTAGCCCATCACTTTTGAAGCTCCAAACGTTTGCTTTGGCTAGCCCATCACGTTTGAAGCTCCAAACGTTTGCCTTGGCTAGCCCATCACTTTTGAAGCCCCAAACGTTTGGAATTCAGGCCTAGGAAACTAAATGATTGGAGCTTAGGCATTTCTTTTTCCAAGCTTTGAGAACCGTTCACGTAGAATAACGTTCAAAGTCCTCCCACTTTCTCACATTTTTGAATAGCTGCACATTGGTAATCAACCATACCATCATATTAATGTCAGCACTGAAAACCAGTTTACAAACCACTTATGTGATACGTACATATAAGCTACTAAAATGTTTACTTGTTTTGTTTTGTCCCAAAGGCTACATCTCCTTACTCTTTTCTTGCACACTAAGACAATCTAGCAAATGCAGAGGATGAGGACTCTGCAGAGGACATCTAAGCAGGTCACTGAGACTTGGAGAAACTTAGCCACCCTGACCCAGCCAATCTTTCTACACAGCCAGAGAAAGCTGCCCACAAGGCAGTGACATACAAAGGGCTTTCTCAGGCATTTTTGAACAACTTTCTTCTCCTCAATAGAAGGAATTAAAGATTAGGCAACCTTACTTCAGAATTAGGCAACCAGAAATGTTCTCAAGTCTGTATTTATTTAGTTAGGACCAATCTCAAGATCAGTAATTTCCTGTCTAGAAAGGAAATGAAGCGGGAGCTGGAGAGGTGGCTCCATGGTTAAGAGCTTGGGCTGCTCTTGCAGAGGATGTGGGTTTGGGTCCCAGCATGCACATGGTGATTTGTAACTATCCCTAATTCCTAACTCCAGTCCCAGGGGATCAGACATCCTCTGACCTCTGTGGGCAATGCATGAATGCATGCATGTGGTACATAAACATACATGCAGACTAAAAATAAGAAAGAAAGAAAAAAAAATAAAACAGCTGTCATTTTAAAATTACTCAAATATCACAAATGTCAGGAGGCTGAAAATAATGATGTATATATGTATATATTTTGTTTCTTCCTACCCAGGGTGAAATTTCAGCTCTAGTCACTTAATTTTATATTTATATATTCTAATCATAGCTTAAATAATTATCTGAATATGAATTTTTGTACTTGCAGAATTTTAATACATAGAAGTAGAATTTTCTTCATTTCATAACATTTGAGAAGTAACAGAATAAAATAAACAAGGAATAAGAAATTGGTAAACTCCAATAATAAATTAAATAGGGGGCTAGAGAGAGAGGCTGGTCTTCCAGAGGACTCAGGTTCAAGTCCCAGCAACCATATAGTGGCTCAAATCATCTGTAACTCCAGTCCCAGGGGACCTGATATTCTATTCTGGCCTCCACAGGTTCTACACACATGTGGTCCACAGACATAGATGGAGCCAAGACAATTACACACACAAAATAAAAATAAAAGTTAAAAATTTTAAAAATAAGTGAGGTAATAGTATCCTCAAAGCCACTGCTTTTACATGTCAGTAAAATAAACTTGTGCGTCATAACTGAAACAAACGGAAGAAAATGTGTTCAACTATCTAAGCCCAAGCGTAAGAAAGGCAACTAAAACGGGAACTGGGCACGGCAGTTCACGTCCGTAACCATGGCTCACAGAGAGTGACGGACAGACCTCACTTCAGATAAAGTGTCACCCTTGTGACTATTATAGGTTGAACTGTGGCTCCTTACAAAAGCCTGTTGAAGTCCTAACCCCTACTTCCTCATGATATGACCTTATTTGAGAACAGCGTCTTCTCAGAGACAGTGGCCCTGAAGTGAAACCCAGCAAAAGGGAAATCTGATCTGAGCATCATGGGGTGAGGCAGACATGGGGATAACAGCACACTGAGACAAAGTGCTGGGGTGCTGCTGGGGACACCAAAGACTGTCACAGACCAGCGGGGGGGGGGGGAGAGAAGGGGGGAGAGGAGAGGGGACAGAGAGGGGGAGGGGGGAGGGAGCCTGTGCAGAAACCTCCTGCACTGAGGTTAGGAGGAACATGCCCTGAGGACCGTCCCTTGGGACCTCTAGCCTCCTCCCAGAGTCCTGCTCTTCTAAGCACACACTCTGTGATATCAAGTTAATTTAGAACTAGGAAGATTTATCCCTGGAACCCACATTGGACAGAAACTGGGAAATATGTCGACCATAGTGTCTGACACGTCGGCAAATGCAAGGGTCACCTCTGTCGCAAGGCCCTGACAAGTGCTAGCAGCTGCATTTCATAACAGGGCAGAAAGAACGACACAGGATCCTGGGCTGAAAACAAATTCACACCCCACAAACCTCCAGAAGTGTGACATTTATAGTCAGAAACTAGATAATTTGCTTGCGAGTCCTGCCGCGACTTCGATTTTCTCGGATGTCCTAGTAAGGACATCATGACAATGACAGGGATGGGCGTGAGCTCTGGAGAAAAGGAGAGAGCCCGAGAGCTACACTGTGCTAACAAAGTTCCTTTAGCAGAGCAACTCTCAGCCCTGAGTCGTGGTCCCTTTGGAGGTCCAATGACCCTTTCACAGGGGTCAGTTTAGACCATTGGAAATATCAGATATTTGCATGATGATTCATAACAGCAAGATTACTATTATGAAGTAGCAATGAAAATAATTTGATGGATGGGGTCATCACGACGTGAGGAACTGTATTAAAGGGTCACAGCGCTAAGAAGGTTGAGAGCCACTGCTCTAGAAGGAATAACATCCCGTGGACCTCCTTCTATGCTAGCAATTAGCTGCTGATGTGGTAAAAGCAGATAGTCTATTTATAACAGCAAGAAGAATTGTAAATAACTTGGGAAATGGTTTAAAGGAAGGAGACAGGAGCTATTCAAAGAAAATTGTATTATTGGGAAATGTATTATAAGGGAATGGGAATCATTCTATATCTTATTATAACGAAAGCTTTGTCTTCCAAGTTAATACAAAAACGAATTCAATTCCAGATAGAATCCACAGGAAATTACAAGGAGAAACCTGGCGCGTTGAGCTTAGTCTATATGAAAATTTTAACTGTGCTATTACACATTGCATTTCAAAGTACAATTTTAATGAATCGAACAATTGGATGGAAAATATAAAACCTCTGAAAAAGTACAGAAGGGCACAGGTACATGTGGAAACCCTGTCACCAAAGACGGCAGCTCCACCATATCCATCAAGGCGAGTGGTTTCTGGTAAGTCAAAGTCAAACTTCTTTGGCAAAAATACAAAGTTACAGAAAACAGACTTTGAAAATGCTTCAATAAATTGACAAGAAAAAACTTACATCAGCGAAAATATTTACAAAGTATATCTAATTCATATTGTTATAAACTGCCAAGAGGTGCAGGAAATGATTTCCCCACCTACGGCAGGGAAATGAAAATCAAACTGCCGTAGAAAAGATTGCTGTAGTAATAGTACCGGCAGCGAAAAGCACAGCGATGAATGAGAAAGATGATAATGGCATTAGCATCAAGACACACATATCCTGCGAGCCAATGGCTCCTCCTCAAGGAGCTGCTCCCACACATACGTGTTGGGATTTTGTACTGACCGATTTTTCCAGGTGAGAATATAAAAACAGTCAAATGCACGCACAGCTCGAGATCAGCTCTGGGCAGCACCTGAGTTTCACATCTACTTTGTAGGAGACTCTCTCTCCCCACCTTCTCTGTGGGAATGCTCAGGAACAAGCTACAGGGGCCACCACTTGCTTGCCATCACAGAGCCCTCTGCTGCCCAAGTGGAGCTGGGGGGAGGGGTGTGGTAATTAGCGCTGCTTTATATATCTTTGTGCAGTTCAGTTCTTAGAAAATCAAATAATATGAATGAGCAAAGCTGAAAGCCTACAGGAGCAGAGTGAAGCCCCTCAGCAGGGCTCTGGTGACCTGGGAGAGACACAGACAAGCACGTGTGTGTCCCATGTTGGGAATGAAAAGGCAGAGATGACAGGCAGGGTTTTAATGAAGCAGAGAGGGAGACCAGCAAGCTTCCCTTTTCATCCAGCTGTGCTCCAGTCACAGGGTCCACAGCCAGGCTCAAGGAGGAAGGGAGAATGCTTCCAGTTGCTTCCACTGTCTTGATGCTGGAATACGGACTCATGTGAGAACAGGTGCACAACAAGATAGAAATCAACACAACGTTCGCTCTAGAAGGGGCCTGGCTGAGGCCCCAACCCACTGGCTCACATTATGGCTAAAGGGACAGGCTAACTTAAGCAACTATGAGGCCCAAATTTTCCTATCTTACCTTTTCTGTTCCTTGAACAGTTAAAAAAAAAATAGTAACAACAGTAGGATTTTCTCTGAGTGAGTAAAAGAAAAGATAGCAAGGCATGCTAGTATTTCAATATTTTAACCAATAAAAGCTCTTTTTACAAAAACCAGTCATGGACTGCTACATCAGACACAGGAGACAAGTGAGAGGCTTGGGGCCATTTAACCTGTTTGTGAGACCAAGTAGTGCCAGGAGCTAATTCATGTATTCAGTTAACAATCACTGAACACTTGCTTTGTACCGGAAGTCCTGAGCTGTTGGTCATGCCAACTTCCTCCTTGTCATCCAGTTGAAAGGGGCAAGCCACAAAACAAGTCAGAGGCAAATACAAACCAAGCAAGGTCAGACCTAATTGTTTTGATTCAGGTTTGTGGGGAAGGCTTCACTGAGCATAAGGTTGGCACTGAAGTTGGGCCGCCTAGGATATGGGGTTTCAGAATTAAAAGTCAAGAAATTGCATGGTCTGCATGTCTGGGAAGTGGTCAGAACCAAGCCCCAAGCAAGTATCCTGGCCTGGGCGAGCCATGGCTGGAAGGGAGCGCCCAGCTGGAGGGCACATGCCCAGGGGCCACACCGAGGGATCAGCCCCGACCAGACAATCCCCTCCTGTTCAGTTTGGGGGAGTGAATTCAGAGCATTACCAAGTACCGAGCAGGGTCTAAGTCTCCCATCATTCCTTTCAGGTGCGTGTTTTCTGTTCGGACAGCTTTGTATCTCATATCCGAGACCTGAAAGATTAGTAGACAAAAGGCACACGTGAAACTCGCGGAACTAGACATCTTGTTCATCAGCTCTGTCCCGTGGGTTCAAATCCTTTCTGTGGCAGCGAAAAGGGGGCTGCCTGTCAGGGTCCCCTGTTCCCTCTCCCGGCCACTTTTCCTGTTTGAGCAGTGCTAGATTTAAAAAACTTAAATAATCATTTACTTTTTCCCTACCGAGCCCGAAATTCCATTTCTCATGTATTGGAACTGTAACCAGAAAGGTCAGGATTTTAAAATCCCTTCTTCAAGAGATCGCTCATTACGCGTTTTCAATGCCCGATTAACTTTTACAGCAAGCAGTACATGGCTTAATTTGTTCCTTCTGGTGTTTTGGTCGCATTTCCTCGCCTGCCTAGGACTTCATTTTGTGTCCTTTTTCTTTCCCTGATTTCTACCTGAATATTGGAATGATGGATGTTTGCTTCCCTTCCTGGACTGTTCTTTTGTATATCTAAGGCCCATTTCTATATAAAACTCTTGCTTTTGAAAGATTTATTTTTATAAGTTTTAGAATATATGCTCATTGACAAAATCTAGAAAACATGGAAATATGAAAACGGAAATGAGACTTATTCATGGTGGCTGCCCGCTCTGGCCACCTGCCCATGGTGCCCTGGCAGTCGCTGGTTTCCTGGGTACGGCACAAATTGGTCAGTCTAAGGCCATTGGCTGGATGGAGGCCTAATTTTTCCTGTTTTTAACTGCTCTTGTGGAGACTGTCTTGGTTCATGTTTTATGCTCTAAAATCACTTGGTTTTAGAGTGAAGGACCATACAGCCTGTGCTGTCAAAAGCAGGCTATGAATTTGATTATTTGTAAGAGAGCAGGGAGGTTTAAAGGATAAACCGGGGAGGAGGGTGGGCATGAGCATCCCTTGTAGCATCATAACAGTTGAAGCTTGCAACCTCTGCGGTCTCTGGGGACGCGCTGTGTGCTAAGTGGACGTTTAGTTAATACGTGCCGATTTTATTCTGCAGCCTCCATGTTTAAGACATGAATGGCAATCTATTAATGCATGTGTATACCGGGGGGTGTTAGTGGAAAGATCCTATTGAAAACAACTGTGGAAAGAAGCAGGGTGTACGTGACGTGGGAGACAGCTGCAGGAAAATGCCAGCGTGGGACTGCTTGGCCTTGCATGCGCTGTCTTTAGGTCCCTAGTGTTCCTTTGATGATACTTTGTGGAGTGGTCCAGGGTTTTAGGGGGTACCCAAGGCTCCTGACAGTCAAGGAGAGGGCGAGGATGGGCACTGAGCCGGGTCAGCCCTGAGCACATACCTGTTGCTTTGTTAACATTTTTTCCTTTATTTCTAACTCTATCTTTAGTTGTCTTTCCAGAAGGGCAGCTTTCTTCCTGACAGTTGCTATAGTTATCTCCTTCTGGTGGAGCTCCTGGGTGAGGTCCGAGATCTCATTCCTCATGCGTTCCTGTTCGGAGCATCGGTCTTCCTCCTGATAGAGCTGGCTTCTCATCTGCAGGGAGAGTGACCAGAGACGTGACCAGCCCGCTCACTCACAGAGGAGCTGCAGCCTGTGCTGGACTCCCCCAGTCTTCCTATCTATAATGTCTGCAGCCCATGGTGTCCCCGTCTGACCCATGCCAACCGACAAGCAGCGCATAAAGTTCAGTTTCCTCCCAACCCCGAAGTCCTTTGCTTTCTTGTAGTGTGCCGAGTGTTGCTCAGCTTTGGTACAGACTTGACAGAAACTGTTACTAAGTCCTGTGCTTTGTTTTTGAGGCAGGGTCTACCTCCACAGCTCAGACTGTCCTTTATCTTTAGATCCTCATGCCTTGACCCCTGAAGTTCTGGGATTATGGTGTACACAACCAAGTCTGGCCATCAGGACCTTCTTACGGAGAAAAAGAAAAAGGACCTAAGAAGGGTAAGCAACTTGCTCAAATCATACAAAAAGTGTCAGATTTGAGACTGGAACTCACGGTTCTTGGTTTTAATTAAGGTTTTTAAATGAGAAAAGTGTAAATCCCACTTTAAATGAGAAAAGCTGTGACCCCACACTGCGTCTCAGAGTCACGAAGACACCAAGCTTAGTGTGTTGGTAAGAATGTCTTACTGGCCACTCCCGACCCTTGGAGTGTCTCCACCCTCCACTTTCCAAAAAACAGCCCAGTTCACCCTCTCAGATGCCCTGCTTTTTGTTCCCGTCGCTCCCACCTTGGCCACACCCCCAGCATTGCTCACTGCTTCTCACCCTTGGGAGTCACAGATAAACTATGTATGATCCCTCTCCCACATAAGGGGCAGGGGAGAAAGATAAACAATTTATCTTATTTTTTTAATATCTAAACAATAACCCTTTATTGAAAAGGGGTTAGTTTAAATAGCTACAAAGTTGAAGTGTAAAGTGTGTACATTTCTACAGGTACAAGTTAACTTCTTAGTGAGAAAGCAAATATTTATTAGCAAAGTATGTTTAGATTTGGATGGAAAAACTGAAGGGGGATTTAGAATTGTGGCTGCAAGATCTTCCAGCACATGTTCACATTGTCATCATTCGATGTCGGCTGGCTCTCAGTGGCCCCCTTAACTCACAAACACGGGGCTCACACTGAATGCTTGAAAATGCTTTTGTTTAAAAAAAAAAACCAAAAAACCCAAAAAACTTTCTCCAATCAAATTAATATTAAAATAACCCAAACAGAGGATTTCATGGATGCACTCCATAGTCATCAACGCTTTTCTTGGTAGAAACTTCACACAGTTAACCCCTAACCATTCACAGATCACAACAGTGAAGGGGCAAAATGAGCAAACATATTATTTTCTTAATTTATAACAATTTTTAAGTCTCATTTTATTAGTACTATTGATTTTTGGCCTAAATTACACACAAATCCCCATCTCATCATCAATCAAGCACTTTCTGCTGCAGCAAAACGACAGCAGAGACCTAGCACCTGCTTTGCTTCCTCCGCACCACCGTCTCCCTCATTTGCCCGTTTCTGTGGCCATTAACTGACATTACGAGACAGTGCCAGAGCCGATAAGCCAGGTGCGGCTCTGCTCACCTGCTGGCAACACAGATCTGAAATGCCTTTCATTCACGCCACACAGACATTTCACTGAACAACCTGAGGGAAACGATAGTGGCTAAAGACAGATGAGACAGACTGCACATAAAAAACCGCTGTTTTCCTCTCAATAGAAAACCACTGAAAAAGGGAAGAGTTAGAGGAAGACCTGGCAGGAATTTGGGCATCAAGCGGCATTTTGTGCAAGAGCACCCCCAGTCACAAGCCTGGGTTCCGATCTATGCCAGCCAAGGACCACGATTCCCACTGCCATGGCAGCTCTTTTGCACCCGGTTATACATTAAAGTGCAGTATAAAATATAAACATTTTGGTTTCTTCAAAAAAGTATTGTCTTTTAGTTGAGTAGAAAGTTTACTGACTCTTACTGTGTAACGAGTCTTGTTACACTATGAAGCCGGAGCTCACAGCTGCTTTGGTTTTCTCCACAGCACAGCATAATCAGCACCCACAGTATAAAAATCCTTGTAGTGAGTTCTCTACAGAGGTCTGAAAATGATCTGGCACTAGAGTCCAGAGCTCTTAAAGTTCAACCCTGAAATCCTGCTTTTTAAAAGCTATTCAAGTATAAACATGTATCTCATTAGATAAATCTCTTCCGTTCTGCCTGGTTAACAGACAAATGTGCAGATGAATTAACCGCACTAACTACAGCAGCAAAAGTGGTTTTAGGTGTTCTGCACAAATATAAAGTTAACAGTGAGCTTCGTTCTACTGAGCAAATATGCTGCCGCCAAGTCTGCACCACCTCTGTTACAGGGACGTCATGTCCACCACACAGGAACATTCTGAGCAAAGACATAAATCAAGAGTACTTGTCACTGATTGGTCAGGCCAGCTAAATCAAAGACATTCACTATTAAATTATACACGTTGACTGGTTTTTTGAAAAGAAATTCTAACATTAGTGGTTAAGGAAGAAGAAAATCAGGATTTACCTCACAAGATATAAAATATGACATAACAGTGGAATATAAATGTTAAAAGTACTTCAGACCAGAGGGCAAAAAAGAGAAAAGAACCAAAACCCAAAACCACCAAAAGTTAAAAACAAACAAAAACAAAGCAAAGTCCCAACTGAAGTCCTCAGGAAGTTAATCCAGATGGGGCACACTTTCAAGGGTGTTAAGAAAAGATCCCGCTCCCGCATAAGGGACAGGGGAGAAAGATAAACAGGTATTTATAGCACAGGGTGGTAACTGATGTTTGAGAAGTGTCCTGGAGGATGCATAGCCCAGCTGGGAGATGCAGGGGTGGGGGTGGGGGGGGAGGGGCAGGGAGCTTGTGTTAGGATGGTCTTCCCAAAGGAGCCATCATCAGGAAAGTCCTAAGGGAAGGTGGAAGCCAGAAAGCCAGGTGAAAGGAATGCAGCCAAAGGTGGGGCCAGAGAACTGCGTTCACTGAGGGAGCCTGGGGCGTTTTCATCCTCTGTGTGCCAAGAAGTAAGGCCAGAGAGGGAAATCAAGAGAATCCACAGACGTCTATGAATATACTCGGACACTTAGAAGGAAGAAGTGACTCTTTTACATTTCCGGTTTTAAATCCAGTGTGTATCTCTATAGGAAGAAGGGGCTCTTCCCTTTTTGTGAAACTGAATTAGGATCTCACTATGCCCACCTGGCTCTCCTTTTCCAAGCGTTCTCTGTGTGTCCGTCCGGCTGGTCTCCTCATCCAGTCCCGTAATCTCATGTTCTAGTTTCAGTTCTCATGAATGGGAGTCACTTCCTAGAACCTGTGCCCCATCCATCCGTCCTGGGCAGCACACTAGGATGGCCAGGGTTTAGGACTCACACCCAGGGAAAGAAGGCCTAATGCAGGGGGTCACATGGGTCCAAAGGCTAATGTGCTGCGTCCTAGGCTAGGCACCACCCACTCTTCTCTGATCCTGCTCTGATTACTAAGATTAGACATGTGACTTAGAAATCACGTGATCTTAACTTTGCCACTCAGAAAACATGAACCAGGGGCCTGTTGTACAGCTTCCCAAAGCAAGAGTCTCAGTGATGGGACCTAACCCCAGTATATGTGACAGATCCGATCTCTCTCTCTTTTTGTGTTTTTGAGATAGGGTTTTTCTGTAACTTGGGAGCCTGTTCTGGAACTCACTCTGTGGACCAGGCTGGCCTCGAACTCACAGAGAGTGATGGTTCTCTTTAAATTACATTTGCTTGTGTGTTCACGTGAATGCCATGGTGTACATGTGGAGGTTCTGAGAATTCACAAGGGTTGGCTCACTCTTCCTACCATGAGTCTGGGCGACAGAACTCAGGTCATCAGGCTTGGCAGGAAGGCCCTCGGTCTGCTGGGCTGTCTTGCTCACTCCCTCTGAATCTCTCTGACTCATCCCTCTCTAGTTTCCATCCTTATAGTTTATTTGGTGAGCCAGCTGATTGTTCTGCAGCTTGATGGTCTGGAATTTACTGTTTATGTCCCTGTGGTGTATTTTAGCATGGTCCTCTTCAAAATGAAACTCAGAAAATTAAGAAAATGAATATGCTTTTCTGAAAGACGATTAAGATTTTTTTATTAGTTTATAGTTGTTAGATATTAAAACAACATGCTCTTCCACAGAGCCTTTTTCTAAATGAGATTGATTTATTTGTGCTTCCAATAACATGGCTTCTTTTTAATGTGAATTGTATCATAAAATAAGTAACGAAAAACAGCTCTGTACCCACAAAAGAAAAACCACTCACAAGACTCATAGTGCATGGCACTTGTTAGTGTCATTGCAATGGAATGGAAATGTTCTTTGTAGATATTTCGGGGAGCTGCAGCTGGTTACTAAGGCCCCGCATGGCGGCGCTGCAGCCTCTAGGGGCCTGGAAGATCTGTACCTTGGCCTCTCTCTACCTCAGAGTCTGACTCCAAGGAGTCTTGATTTTACTCTGTCTCTCTGAATTGGTTGGACGTCTCTGAGCTCCAGGAGAGTCTAACTATACATGGCGTTAGTTACTCCTTCTACCATGACACAGTCAGTAAAGAGCAGGTTTTTGAAAGTTATCTTTTTAAAAATCAGCGAACTCAGTTTTATGGGATTGCGTGGTATCAGTGTTCAGAACAGGACAGCAACAGCAGCTGCTCTGTTTTCTGTGCTGGACCTGCTTCAGTTCTCAGGAGCTCTGCCAGGGTCTGTCTTCTGAGGGGATGGAGGACAGAGACAGGGTCTTGACGTATAGCCTAGGCTGGCCTCAGACTTGCTGCAATTCTCCTCCTTCAACTTCATAAGTATTAGGATTAATGGTGCGAATTACCACACCCATTCAAAACCTTTCTTTCTTTCTTTCTTTTTTTTTTTAAGATTTTATTTGTTTATTTATTGTGCATACAACATTCTGCCTTCATGTCTGCCCACATGCCAGAAGAGGGCGCCAGGTCTCATTACAGATGGTTGTGAGTCACCATGTGGTTGCTGGGGATTGAACTCAGGACCTCTGGAAGAGCAGCCAGTGCTCTTAACCACTAAGCCATCTCTCCAGCCCCCTCTTTTTTTTTTTTTTTTTAAAAGAATTGGTTCTTTTTAAAAAATATTTATTTATTTATTATTATGTATATAACATTCCTTCCATGTATGCTTGCCAGAAGAGGGCACCAGATCTCATTATAGATGGCTGTGAGCCACCATGTGGTTGCTGGGAATTGAACTCAGGACCTCTGGAAGAGTAGTCAGTGCTCTTAACCTCTGAGCCATCTCTTCAGCCCCATTCAAAACCTTTCATTGCAATGTATTTCTTATGGACGCTGGTGGAATTACAAGGAGGATATATTGGCTGTAGGAGAATGAAGAACGCAGGTTCCTTATGAACCCTGACCAGACCCTCCTCATCTTGGGTTTTTAGCCCCTCACAGTCTGTGCTGGGCCCTTAGAAATGCGGGTGTGGCCCAAACCACAGTAGGTCACATCTGTCGGGTGTTCCTGAGCCAGGCTTTGTTTACGCATTAGGTTGCATTATTAGCTCATGATTTTTGACAGAGGTAGGGACGTAGTTTCTGTTGTGAAGTAGTCTACATTTGAAACTTGGGTCTGCCACCTATTGTCTGTTTAACGTGGGAGAATTTATTCAACTTCTCTGTGTCTTTAGTCTCCTCTAATGTAAAAAGAGGATTGACATAGATCCCATCTTTAAAGATGATTGCAAGGACTGAGTGACAGGCTTTGTTAATCCTTGGGACAGTTTGTTCCTGGCACGTGGTAAGAACCATATTGGCTCATTTTACCCCCATCACAGATACCTCGAGGTGTTGGAAGTTTCATTTCCCTTTCCTCTGAAAGGGAACAATCCCTCCGGCCCCAAAAACACAGCTCATAAGACTTAGGCAACTATCTACCCCCTGCAAAGTAAGGCCCAGGACGCCCAGAAAGTTGTAAGATTCCCCAAAGTCCAACCACTAATTTCAACAGTTAACAGTTGCTTATTATTCAGGAGACTGCAGTGGAGCTGCCAGCTAGCCAGGGCTGCAGCCTCTCTGATGCATTTCCCTCCTGCAGGGCCATTTTCAGTGGTCCCAGCTGCCTCTGAATCACACACGGCCCTGCAAACATGCGCCCACTGCCGTAGGTCATTAATAAACTCACTGGTTTACTAAATGAGCCCTGAGTGGAATCCTTCCTGCGGTCTACAGTCGGTGCCCTCTCTGGAGAGACAGACGTTTGTTCATTGTGTCGACAGTACTAACCACCCAGTCTGAGATGAGGTCCCCCAGGTCCCCCACATGCTGAGCACCAGGCTGGCTCTCTCAAGGCCCCTCCACATTTCACCTGCAGCTGCCCGCTGGAGACAACCCAAGATTTGTGTTCACACAGACTAACAGAATTATCCGCTTGGTAGATCATTTCTTTTGGAGAAAATACAGCAGGAGAAAGAAGGGAGCGTGAAGGGAGATTTTAAAGCCAATTTTATGCAGAGACTTTAGAGCTGAAAGAATGGATCTCGTCATACTCCTTACTTTGTTTAATTCCTTTTCGTGATTTGGTTGATCTGAGACCATTGCAAACAACTCTCTCCTCTTCCTTTCTGGTTCTTTAGTAGAAGGGGAATATGACGATTCAAGTCTACAAATTAAAAATAAAATAGGCAACACGTAAGCTTAACTTGGCGAATTGCTAATTTTATTGTCAGTCTATGTCACTGGCCGCGTGGAGACAGGTCACAATATTATCAACACTAATAGCTAAAAAATTGCAAATTCTAATAATTCCAGCCCTGAGAATATTTCTCTTTTTTTATGGGAGTGGTTTAAATGGGAGAAAAGGTAGCAGTTAACAGGCTTTCAATTATATATTAAAATAATCAGGTTACTAGGGTTGCATATGTACATAAGACTTTTAAAAAGTATTTATTTATATATTTTATGCACCCAAGTTCTTTGTTTGCATGTCTGCAGAAGAGGGTATCGGATCCCGTTTATCCATGGTTGTAAGCTGCCATGGATTGGCTGGGAATTGAATTCCAGACCTCTGTAAAAGTAGCCAATGCTCTTAATCACCGAGGCAGCTCTCCATTCCCTGTAGGTAAAATTTTGAATAAGAAAAGACTTCAGCCAGGCGGTGGTGGCGCACGCCTTTAATCCCAGCACTCGGGAAGCAGAGGCAGGCGGATCTCTGTGAGTTCAAGGCCAGCCTGGTCTACAAGAGCTAGTTCCAGGACAGGAACCAAAAAAGCTACGGAGAAACCCTGTCTCGAAAAATCTACAAAAAAAAAAAAAAATGGAAATAAAGCCTCACTCAAAAGGTACAAAATCATAGCAGCCTCCCTGGCGTATAGGTGTCCAAGATGGGCTGATCTTTCTGCACCCCTCCCCCACTCCCTGACATATAGGTGTCTAAGCTGGCCTGATCTTTCTGGCCATCGTAGTTATCCCTCCCATCCCCACATTTGAGTTTATGTAGGCCAACAGCGTGTGAGTATAATTGCTACTGATGTATAACGATCCTAGAAGAACCAAGCGCTGTCAGCTTTACTGTGAATGTTGTCTTCTCCCCCATATGTACAAGTGAACATGCTTCTCACACAACCACAGTACACACTACATGCTATTTACTTCCGTATGATCATAGTTCACACTACATGTATGTTTCTCACTGACCTTAACCACTGAGGCATCTTTCCTTATTCCCATATCCTACAACTTTGAAGAAATAATTACTGCCCGAAAAGCAGTAACAATTATCTTCCGGTAAAATAGCCTTTATCATTTAGCTATTCGGATTTTAAAAACCCTATCATTCGCTTCATTAGCTTGCTGATTCTGAGAAGAAAGTTCCACACCAGCGAATTGTTAAAGACATCATCTCTTCAGAACCTCAAGCACCGAGAATTCTCAGAAGACCTCCATTGGGTGGCTGTGAAAGCCACAATACATGTCTGCTCTTGAGGAAAAAATTGTGTTAGTAATACAAAGAGATTTATCTTATTTTAAATTACGTGTATGTATGTGTGTATGCACATGAGCACAGGTGCCCTCAGAGGACAGAGGTGCCAGGGCCCCTGGAGCTCAGCAATGTGTTTATGAGCCACCTGACCTGGATGCTGGGAACTGGCCTAGGGTCCTCTGGAAGAGTAGCGAGCTGTCTCGCCACCGAGTCATCCCTCCAGGACAGACACTGGCTCTGTCTGTGGAGCTGCAGGTCGGGAGTGCAAAGTTTCCACACTGTTTCTTCAGCAAGAGGAAAGGTTAGATCAGGCTTATAGGCGACCAAGGCAGAGACAATAAAAGAGTAAATCTCATTTCCCTGCAAATTTATAATTAAACACCAGGTCTACACTGTTTTTCTATTGATATCCTCAAGACTGCACGGTAATTCAAATAAACTTTGTTCAAATATGAAGCCTTCAAATGCACACACACACACATCCTGCCTTGGGAAAGTTCCTCTCGGGTGAGAGCTGTACCTTTTCCTGTTATCGTGAGCAGCCTGGAACTCTCCCATTTTCAGCAGCTCCCTGTGCAAGTGCAGTCTTTCCATCTCTATAATCCTCAGAAGATCATCACGTGACTGTAGCTCATTCTTCACCTCTGACAGTCCTGCTTCCATGGCCTGCATTAAAAATTTCTGACGTTCATGTTAGAAGCACGATGTATGATACATTAAGAACTAAATCTAGCCCTCAAAACAATACAGGACGTCACCATTGCTCTTGGTTGTCCATCAGTCATCCTACTGCTGAAATACTGGTTGTAAGACCTGGGGAGATCAAGCCGATAGCTCCCTCCCTTGCAGGGCAGCTTGCATAGTGTCAGAATATGCTATGTGGGCTGCTGTGTGAGACAACTAGGCAGTGGTATTACCCAGCGGGAGACCCTGCATGGCACCAACATGCCAAGCAACACGTGCCTGCTGGTGCAATAGTGGCACGGATGGTATGTTGACAACCAGTCCCATTCTGATTGGATCTGGGGCTTGTTCCACAGGAGGGAACTCATATCTGGGATGATGGGGAGATCACAAGTCCCAGGGAGAAGCTACTGTTGTTGCTTTGCTGACCAAACATGTTAAAGTGCCTTTGAATATTTGTTTATATCCATAAGTCAGTGGTGTTCTCGGCCTTGGTCAGAGAAACTTCTTTTTGCAGTGGGCGGTGGTTAACTCAGACTTGTCAAAATGCTGAGAATAAGTGACCGTGGGCTCAGCCCTAAATGGGACATTTTATCTCCCACCCTCAAGGCTCTGGAGTGTTTGACATGATGGGTAGTGCACATGGCTTGGCGGCTGTGCTCATGAACTCATGACAGCCGTTGCTAACTGTGTAAGACAGGGCCTTGTACATCACTGGGGAGAGAGGGCTCCACTCCTCCTAGGGAAGCTATGGGTAGTGATGGCTTCTGGGAAAAGGCAAGTCCTTGTCTTCTATGATGTAGCCACAGGGAAGGTGCCATGTTATAGTATGTAAGTCCACACCCATGGAAGCAATCCTAGTGACACCACAAGGTCACCTCCCCCACTCACACACACACACACTCACATACACACACTACACTTTCATACTCTCACACACATACATACACACAGACACTCTGTCACTCATACACTCACACTCATGCACACACCCACACCATAATTGCACACACACATTCTCACACATGCACACAAACATACTCACAGTCTTTCGCACAATATTCACACATTTTCACATATGCTCACACACTCACACTCATATTCACAGCCTTTCACAAATACATACACACTCTCACACACACATTTTCTCTCACAAATACACAAACTCACACATTCTCACACACACTTACACACTCTCACATACACATTCTCACACTTACACACACTCACATACAATTCTCTCTCTCATACACACACTTACACACATTCACTCTCACACATTCTCTCTCATACACACACTTACACACTCTCAGTCTCTCACACACATTCCTTCACACACACTCACATACACACACACTCTCTCTCTCACACACACACATGATGGCAGGGAGAGGACCCGTTCAGAAGAAGGAGGGATACAGTGGGGGAGGTGGGTTCTGGGAGAAGATAATGGTGGTGAAAATGGCTGAAATTCACCATATACATGTATGAAACTATTAAATAATTTAAAAATTAAAAATTGATGCTTAAAAATCAATGTACTTAATTTTAAGTAAGGCATGTTTCCTCTTTTGCTTCCTCTGTCTTACAGAATTCCTTTCACTCACTGGACAAGTCCTCAGTGAGCTCCTATATACTCTGGGGGCAGATTCTAGTCACCCTCAGAGAGCTCACGGGCCTGGACAAAGACAAAGAACAAATGACCAAGCCACCTCAAAGTGGTGACACCGTGCAAACCTGAAGCCATGCAGTTTGAATAAAGCACAAAGTGTGAACTCTAATCAATGCTGCTACTTTCTGATTAATGATGAACAGGAAGTAAATGACAGATAATCTCACGACCAAAGCCGGCACTCAGTTTTCCTGCCAAAGCTGGCAACACCATGAGTTAGGAGCCTTGGTGTTCTCAGGCCCATGACAGTCAAGCTTCGCTCAGGTATCCAGGAATAGCAGTGACCCCTGGGCCTGTCTGTGCAAGGCCTGCGCAGTTCAGGGGTGCAGCAGAGATGTGGACAGGAGAGAAAGGGCAAGGGCAGTGGCCGAGGCTCCTCAGCTGGTGGGAGAGAGAACCTGCAGGACACCAGCCTCCTCTTAGCGCAGGAGGGAAGAACAAACAGACAGAGGAGGTTCTGCATTTGGGTGGATGGGGAGCTTCAGAGCCTGGCTGAGTGTTGGGGAAGGGAGGAGGTGTTGGAAGTGGGGTTACAGACAGGCCTTGGCATCATTGACAGGGCAGATGACCCCATTGCAGGCGTGAGCACGGCTTGTAAGATGAGCTGCCGCACAGTGCTGGCAGGAAACCGGGGAGCCACGCAGTGAGTTCTTTCCTCCGGCAAGTTCCCCAGGTTCACCACGCTGAACTACATCTATTCCTATTGATGGCTGAATTATATCCCATTCGTGGCTATACCACATTCTGAGTTTCCATCATCAGTCGGCACACATTGTGGGCTAACTCTGCTTTTCGGCAGTCATGAGCAATGAGTCCTCTTTACTGATGGAGTTCTTAGGAAGTTTCCTTAAAACAAAAGATTTCAGTTACAATTCTTTTCCAAGGGCCTGGGTTTGGGAAAAAACTGATTGCAATACTTAGCCACACACATTGCTGGTGACTCAGAAATGAGTTGAAAAACACATTCAAAATGATGTCTTATGAGATAAGTTTAGATATTCTCTGTTTTGAAAAGTGGGGATTTTTCAGGTAGAGTTAAAATTTCAAAAATTAAAGAAGAGTGAAACAATTAATTCTACAGTAAAAAAAAGCAATTTACCTTAATGCAAAAGCCACCTGCTATGTTATGCAGGTGAAGAAGGGACAGCCTGGACACTCTACTTTGTGGAATTCCCACCATGGAACATGAATAGCAAACAGAGAGTGGGCGTGTCTTTCTTGGGGGAGAGAAGTGGGACAGTTCCCACTCTAGGCTGGTGACCTGAGGTGTCAGGGTGATGGGAGTGGTCTGCTCTGTTTCTTGAAAACATGCCCTGTGGTGATGAGTACCCAGGAGAAGCCCGCTGTGCAAAGATCCTGCACCACAGGTGCAAGAATGTAAATTAAGGCAGACATTGAACAAGTTGGAAATAATGATTTGACAGATAAAGAGGCAAAATAGACGGTAGCTGGCAGAATAATGCAAATGGTGTGAGAACAACCAGGAGGGTTTGTTGATATTGACAAATCTAGAACTTCTATCTTCTTGCTTTGGATTAAATAAGCCTGAGTCGACATGAGAATTAATGGATTTTTAAAATTAGGAGATCGTTTTGAAATTGGTACAATTTTGCATGAAAGTCAAATCAATTATTTGTCCATGTGTCAAACATCTGGGGAAATGACTGCTGCTGGGACATTTTCAAGCATGTCTGGAGCAATCTGAGTGCTGGAAGCTCCCTTTAATTTTGACATTTTATGAAAACCAAATATAGATCAGGCATCTAGTAGTGAAATGTAGGTGTGTTGTAGGTGTTACACATACACACAGATCAGGCATCTAGCAGTGAAATGTAGGTGTGTTGTAGGTGTTACACATACACAGATTCTTGATGACTTAGTATAAAAGCTGTACTATGTCTCATTAACAATTTTCACATTTTGATTACATCTTAGATGACAATGATTTGATATACATACTACTTACATCAATTTACTCATTTCTCTCTAGTTTTTAATGTGACTACAAGACAATTTCAGCCAAGGCTGGGGCTCAGCTGGTACAGGGCTTTATCCAGTGTGCACGAAGCCCTGGCTTCTGTCCTTAGCGCAGCAGAAACAGAGTGTGGTGGTGTGCACCCAAACTCCCAGTTCAGGAAGTGGAGGAGGAAAAGCTCATGATGACCTCAGGCTATATAGGGAGTTTAAGGGCAGCCTGGGCTACACAAGACCCTTTCTCAAAAAACAAATCAATGAAGCAAAGCAAAGAACAATAACAAACACTCCAGAATTTCAGTTAAACCAATGCTTGGATTATACTTCTTTTGGAGGGTGCTGCTCTGGCTCTCAGTGACGCATTAACAAGCAAATGAGAAGTTAACTTTCCTAGCAGAGATGTTTGAAAGACAGAGTCACTTATCTTTGCCATTACTCGCTAGTGGAGACTTAAAAGCAGAGGGCATGTAGGATGTAAATAAACATGAGGGGTGTGTGCGGGCACCTCTCTAGGTTGCAGAAAGGCGAATGATGTGCGTGCCTCCAGGAGGTGCAGACACAGCTGGTAGCAGAATTACTGTAACACATTAAATGACAGCGGCTTAGATAAGGATTGCTGTCTTTCTGCATTTACATGCAAGATGTGGAGCATTCTGTCAGGTGACTGAGAAGGGAGGGCCGTTGTTTTTGCAATTGCACGTTATGGTTCTTGTATTATTTACCTCTACTAATCCTTATTTGGTACAATGCAGATTTTTGTAGAACAAACCCGAGGCCCATCTGGCTAGTTAGGAACTGTCTATTGCTCTGAGAGGGGCAGTGATTTTAAACCTTCAAATCAGCTGTCACACCTAGGCAATGGGCTCTCAGCATTCAACAGAAAGCGCAAGGACAGGCCGTAAGTGACACCTGGGAACGAAACAGGGAGGAGGAAACAGAAGAAAGGAAAACACAGGAGTCTTGGTGCTTTTTTCCAAAGAGAAACTGTAGAACTTTTGAGCCAACTTACTTTTCAATTTTCAAAAATAAATTTTCTAGGAAAACAGATACTTTTTCCTCTTGAGCATGTTCCAAATAAGGTCCGAAGAGTTTGCCTTATTTAATACATGTAATTTGTGTGTGCGTGTGTGTGCATGAGTACGTGTGCTCTTGCCTGCCTGTGGTGTGGGAGTACACATGCCTGAGTGATGAGGACAGAGGTGGACCCTGAGCACATTTTTGCTCTCCACCTAGCTTTATTTTATTGAGAAAGGGAGATTTATTTTTGTTTTGTTTTGTTTTGTTTTGTTGTTGCTGAGCCTGGAGCTCACTATTCAGCCAGACAGTCTGGCGAGCAAAGCTCTTTGGATGCTCATGTCTGTCCCTAGCCACTTAGCAAGCACTGAGGGGAACAGACTTGCAGAGACCAGAGCTAAAAAGCCCCCAACAAGAGTCAAAACAGTTCTTCAGTCCATGCAGTGTGAACTGAAGCCCAGGGCAGAATATTTTGGAAGGATCTAGAAAAATAATCTGCTTATTCATTGTGCGGGATCTCGGTACAGGCTCCACCTGTGAAGACAGCAGTGAAATGTGTGCTCTCGTCTTTAAACAGAAGGTAGGACCAATGTCTGATCCCAGAGGAGAGAATCCTGCTGGAGCCAGCAGCTGTGCGAATTGCTCTCTCCGGCAGGTGGGTAAGTAGCAAGCTGAGTGCTGGGAGAGCCTGGCCAAGCTCCAGGAAGAGAAGGATTCATCTTAGACTATGACAGAACCAGGGAAGATGCCACCACACCTGTCCTGTGTCTGGAGGATGCCTGGTTCCGGTGTCTAGTGTTTTCAGTTCAATCTGGTTTATTTGTTTACATCTGTCAAGTTAATGTTAAAATAATATCTTTCACCAGACATAGCTGGAGTCCAAGATGGGGGAGATGCAGGTCTCTTAGAAACATCCTGGAAGAGAGAACGTAGGAGCCATGTGGCTCTGTCCCCTCCCTAACACAGTGGAGAGGACATGGGGAGGACAGATGTTGATGTGCATGTTTCAGGACAGTACTGTGGTGACGCAGCAGTGTGAGGACGGAGGAGCTGGCCCAGGACTAGGAAATGACTCAGAACTGGAGAGCAGAAGCTACTGGGGCAGAATCTCCCAGAGAAACAGGGGTCTACCCAGGTAGTGAGCTTCAGGACAGGGAGAGATGAGAGGAGCCGAGAGACGGGTGAACTGAATGAAGAAAGCGGTAGAAACAACATTTAGAGGTGGGAAAGGAGGGTCAGAAGCAGAGAGAGGCTGGCGAGGCTGTCTCAAGTGTCTGAATTTGCACGAGTACGAGATGATGATGGGATAACAAGTGCTGGTTCTGAAGGTGCTGTTGCCAATGCCCCTACTAATTACAAAAAATAGAAAGAAAGAAAGAAAGAAAGAAAGAAAGAAAGAAAGAAAGAAAGAAAGAAAGAAAGATAGAAGAAGTTGGCTTAAGGAAGACCAAGTTGGTTACAGATCTCCAAATCTATCGCTCTGATGGTGTCACCAAGACCTTCAGTTCCAGAAGACTGTTCCGCAGAGGCTTATGACCAAGTGTGGTGCTCAGACACCGACAGGCCCAAGAGTTTCTATGTGCCAGGTGGTTGAACCCTTGGGAGATGGGGTCCAGTGGACACCCCAGTCTGTCCTTCTTCCCCTTTGCTTGTGGGTCATGAGGTTTTAGTTTACCCTGCTTCCCATACCGCGATCTTCTGCCCCACCACAGGCCTGAAGTACTCAGGCCACTCCCAAACCGTGAGCCTAAAGGAATCAGTTAATCATCATGGTCTACCCAGAGTGCTTTGCTACAGTGATGGGAGTGGACTACCATGTGGAGGTCCCAACAAAGAGTCAGAGCTGCTCCATGCCATTGACGGGGAGCTGTTCCATTGCACTGGTAAAAATACATATTGCCAGTGTGCTACTAAAAGACTCCAGAGGCTAACATACCCTGAGATTACTGCATTTACTCCAGGGAGAAGAACTATGGAGGGGAGCTCTGACCTGAGTTGACAGTACAACAGGAAGCTGTGTATAAGTGCTCTTATCCCTGTCAAGCCAGCATCTGTGCAGCTCATCAACAACAGCTGGAAATGAAGCTAAAAGCAAAGACCCTCGCCGGGCACCACCCCTGGCGCAGACCCTTACCTGGCACCGCCCCTGGTACAGACCCTCGCCTGGCGCAGATCCTCGCCTGGCACCACCCCTGGCGCAGACCCTCGCCTGGCACCGCCCCTAGCGCAGACCCTGGCCTGGCACCATCCCTGGCGCACACCCTGGCCTGGCACTGCCCCTGGCGCACACCCTGGCCTGGCACCGCCTCTGGCGCAGACCCTCACCTGGCATTGCCTCTGGTACATCTTCAGTTCTTGTAGCAGCTTCTGGTTTTCATCCTGTAACTTGTTCCTGCTCAGTGCTATTTCACTCACCGCCGACTTTAACTTTTCAATAATAAACTCATCTCTCTGGCTGGCTTCACAACCAGGATCTGATTCGCACACCAGACGAGGAATCTCAGGGCTGCTGTCCTCTGGGCATTGCTTCTTACCATTTAGCTGAGTTTGGTAATTTTGTGCCTGTTTCTGAGAAATATGATAATCAGGTAAACGAAGCAGAGAATATCATATTTAAGCTTCCATGCAGTCAGAGAAGTAAAGAAATTAGTAAAGATATCTGTCAGTACTAAGCTTGGCTTGTACAGTATAGCATTATGTTTATAATCTCGATTTCAGATGATATGAGGAGAAAATGTATTTGCATAATTTTGGAGTAGGGAAGGGGTCTGGTATTAATCAAGAAAGAAAATCTAGAAGCTATAATAAAAGAAAAATGTTAATTCAACTGCATAATCATGATAAAGAAATAAAAACCAGAAACAGATTGAGGGGAAAAGCAGTTGCCAACACATAACTGTTATTGGTAATTCCTAATGTGTAAAACCTACATATCAATAGGGCAAGCTAGTGACACAGCAGAACATACTGAGCATGGGGGATGCTGAAGGGCAAAGTAGAATGAGGACACGCCCAGCCTACCGGTGAGTAAGGACATGTCACACAAACCATAGAGACATATCCTACCGTGGGTAAGGACATGTCACACAAACCATAGAGACATATCCTACCGTGGGTAAGGACATGTCACACAAACCATAGAGACATATCCTACCGTGGGTAAGGACATGTCACACAAACCATATAGACATATCCTACCGTGGGTAAGGACATGTCACACAAACCATATAGACATATCCTACCGTGGGTAAGGACATGTCACACAAATCATATAGATATATCTTACTGTGGGTAAGGACATGTCACACAAACCATAGAGACATATGCTACCGTGGGTAAGGACATGTCACACAAACCATGTACACATATACTTTGTTTTGTTGCTGTTGTTGTTTGTGATTCAGAATCCTTTTATATACTGCAGGCTTGCCTCAAACTCATGACCCTCGTTGCCTTTGGACCCCAAGTGCAGGGTCTAAGTGTCTTGAGCCACCCAGGCCCCTCCCCCGAAGACCTCTAGCTGCCAGATTCCACCCACAGAACACTCTAACTACCCTAACTGCTGGACCCTGACCCCACCCTACAGAGTAATAAACCCAATCTCTGTACACCAAATCCCACCAATCTCCATTCTGGAAAGCTCCGCCCCTTTCCCAAGGAACTCTGTATGAGCCCTGCATCCCGTTCTGTTCGCTGCTGTTTTCCACCCTAGCAGAAGCAGCCATCCCTGTTTCTGTTTTTCCTCCTGACAAATCTCATGTGTGAGGATTGTTGTGCGGTGTGACTTTGTGGTACTCTTTGGCTCCTGGCTGCCAGGATACCTTTCCACCCGAGCTGTAATGCTCGGACACAGGGATAAAAGTGTATGTTGTCTAAAGATGTAACAGCAGCAGACTTTCAGCCACAGCCTGAGACCATGGTCGCAAGGGGCTCATGCACATAGTTGTAATGTCACCAGACTCACGATGGCTGCTGGCCCTCAGTTCACATTTCCATGAGTAAGTAGATTCTATACTGAATACAAGGATGGCAGTAATTAATCTCTAATTATAATTTCCAATTTAGACAATACTTTACTTGAAATTGATTGCATTTTTCAGATAGTAATTTTTGTTGAGCATCCAAAGATACTAGGTGAGTCTGGTAGAGGATCTCCTGTTTGTCCCATTCCCTTGACTTCGCTCTAAATTCCTTTGGAATGGGGAAGGGAGAGATAAACAAACAAAAAAGGATTATTCACTAAAGTGCAGTGAACAGGGCTTTTTTTCCTTCATGCATCTTCATTAGGAGAAAAAAAAGCAAGTATATTCTTTACCTTTTAGGATAGCAAACAAGAACATGACAGGATTACACATTGACTGATTGCTATAGGTTCTATGTCCTGCCTCTGAACCACTTGGACCAGGGAGTTTTATTTCAGATGTTTATTTGCATGCTTATAATGAAATGCCTTGTTGATGCCATCCAAGTCTAAACACACACTCGTCTGCTTCACATACCCTGTGTGTACTCTGACAAAAGGTGACGGTATGTATCCTGTTTAATATACCCATGTTGTGGTCATCCATATTACTTGTGACATTGTGTCTGCGCTCGAAAGCCTGGGATTCTGGAGCATTTGGGAACGTTAAATTTTCAGAATAGGTGTATTTAACCTGTGTATTTCAGTTTTTAAAAGAAATTATGGATTTTTTTTAACATACATAGAAACATACTGAAACCTTAAATCTCTCGCATGGCAAAGGACGAGTGCTGACGAGGGAGAGTCAAACAACCTTGGCGTCAGCTGGCACCTACCCACTTCTCGGGTGTGTCTCCCTTCCCTTCATTCTCTACACTTAGCCACTGGACACTTTCCTTCATCACTTAAGAGGTGGATCTAGGAGATGCTCAGCAATTAAGAGCCTGTACTACTCTTGCTGAGGGCCATCTGGGCCCAGGGCATCGGCCACCAGCAGCATCAACATTCACATGTATGCAGCCCCATAATTAGAAATAAAATAGTTCTTTTAGAAGACGTCCTTTTATCAAGTTCTACGAACTCAGTGTTTGTGCATCTTTTAACACGTATGTTGAAGCCTATGCTCACTGTTTTGAAATTGAAAGTTGGGCCTCTGGGAGGTTGTTGAGTTATGATCCTGGAGCCAGGGTGGGTTGAATTAGTGTCCTTGTAATAAAAGATTAAGAAAATCAGGGGTGCCGGGCGATGGTGGCGCATGCCTTTAATCCCAGCACTCGGGAGGCAGAGGAAGGTGGATCTCTGTGAGTTCGAGACCAGCCTGGTCTACAGAGCTAGTGCCAGGACAGGCTCCAAAGCCACAGAGAAACCCTTGAAAAACCAAAAAAAATGTATATATTCCATACTTTCTTCATCCATTCTTCAATTGAAGGGCATCTAGGTTGTTTCCAGGTTCTGGCTATTACAAACAATGCTGCTATAAACATAGTAGAGCCTATACTTTTGTTGTGTGATAAGGCCTCTCTTGGGTATATTCCCAAGAGTGGTAAGCCTGGGTCAAAACTGGTCTCGCTGAACATAGCGGACAAGGAGGACTACTGAGACCTCAAGAACAATGGCAATGGGTTTTTGATTCTACTGGACCTATTGGTTTCGTGGGAGCCTAGGCAGTTTCGTGGATGCTCACCTTACTAGACCTGGATGGAGGTGGGTGGTCCTTGGACTTCCCACAGGGCAGAGAACCCTGATTGCTTTTTGGGCTGACGAGGGAG